CCTCCCCCCCCCCCCCCCCCCCCCCCACAGTGGAGGGAGACGTATAACTGTAACGGGAACTGGGTTTGATATCATCCAGAGTTTCTCTATAGTTGTGACTGCTGACCTTTATGGGTCTTCCAGAAGAAAGAAGAGGCGAATACAAAGTCAGGACTCAAAATTGGTAATTCTCCTTTTTTGTCAGATATGCTGTCCTCATCAGCAGTGTGATGTCTAAACAGGGCCTGCCCACTGATGTCAATGAGTATTGGATTGGGCCAAAATTATATTAACAAAACCTCAGGCACAATAATCCCTGTCAATAATATACCTCTCAGGTACACTAATCCCCACCAATATTTCTATTTTTTCAGATGTAAACTAAGGGCCTCATTCTTTCTTATGTTGATTAGTACCTTAGAACGTACACAAGTTCCTTTGATTTAAAAGAGATGACTCAAAGAATCAAGTACTATTCACCATGAATAAGGGATGTAGAACTGAGCTATGAATGGAGCAACTGAAATGTATTGCCAAGTCCGAATTGGAATAATTTATCTTATTCCATGTGCTTCCTACTGAGCTCAAGATATTTGGACTTGAATCCAACCACTACTGCTCTTGACTTTGCAAAATCCAAACCTATTCAATTTGGCTTTGCAAACCAAAAAGTTCCTACTTTTTTTGCCCATTCCTACTAAAGTCTTTGTGCAGCATGTGCATTTCCTTATACACTGAATTTAAAACTACTCCTACATGTGATGCTAAGTAAACCCTTTCACTACACAACTGCAAAATTTCATTCCATTTCTGAGGAAGCCCAACGCTTGTCACGTGATTAAAAACCTAAAAAATGGTTCTTTGATGGGAACATGGTTCAAAATTTAGGAAAACGTTTCAAAACTAACTTTTGTTTTTCTGTTGTCTATTTTTGGTCATAATTTCAATTACATAATTTTATTTTTAATAATCTATACAGTTTTGTGCTCTTTTTAAGACAGTATTCCTCTATTTCAATTTTTTTCTAATCCATAAATCTTTTGAGCTGTGACAAATCCAGATTTCTCCCCCGCAGTTCTGCCAGGATTATTAGAAAATAAAAATGTACACCTTTAGTAATCTATTTTCTGCAATAACTATGATGTGTATTAACAGATGAAGTTTTACTGTATCAGGCCTACACTAAACTCATGGAAACATTTTTCCTTAGCAAACCTCTGTTTATTGTTCTCAAGTATTTGTTCCCCCTGCGTATATTTATTCTGATGTATTAAAAACATCTATTTGGAGGCACTATACATATTATCTGTCAATCTTTTGTTTACTTTTTAATTCACTTTGTATTCTGATAGTATCCAAAATTAACTAGGAATGATACAGTCACATCTGTGTTAAGAGACTGTGAAGACTGTTGTAGGAAGACATAAAGATCATAAAGACAGCTGCTGGTTTTTTTGTTGTGATTTATGTTAATGATTGGTTGAAGAGGATTCCTATTGTTTGTATAAGTATCAAGGAACACCTCGTGCAAAGGAATGAGATGGGGAGAATTATATATACAAAACTAATATTGTTAGAATCCAGAAATTTTTAAGTATGAAGTGCCTTAGAAATAAACATTCATCGTGGGGGAAGATAAGATTTGCTGTGAGTTAGGGTGACTAGTTGGTTGGTGTTAATGTAAATTATTCATAAATTGTACTTAATGTCTTCAAGTCATTTATAAATAACAGAGAAGCCAAGTGATGTGCTCAAGGTTATAGGCAAGTCAAAGATGGTCTGGATTAAAGCTAAAGAGTTACATACTCACCCACTCCCAATCTTCTGTTCTCCACATTAAACCACTCCAAAATATTTCACATCCATAAAATTCAATTACTGACACAAACTTTCTGCTAACTTTGGGAGTTTTCAGAGCTTAGTGTGTTGCTTTAGGCCTAACTACTGACCTACACTGAAGCAATGATTTGTTTTTATCCAATGATTTTTTTTTTATCTTTTACAAAAATAACTGAGAATCTTCACCTTTTTATTTCACTTGTGTTTGGTGTAGAAGTTCCTATTCTCTGGCCTCTATTTATAGGCGATAAATGTTCAATCAAATTTTTTTTGTTTGTTTTTTAGTTTGAAGGACAAAATATTACAAAAATCAATGACAGCACAATAGTCTTCTCTTCTCCACCAATATTAGAGGATCCAGAAAACTATAAGATCACTACATGTATTAAAATGGATGGTCACAATTTGGATCTAAAAAATGACAAGGACCCCTTTAAATATGTTGCGGATCCAACATTTGAAAACTTCACCGATGGCATCAAAAAACAAGTCAACAAACTTATTCATGCACAGGTAAACTTGACAAGACATCGCTGACATTGATTTATCATTATAATCTATTTATTTTAGAAATGTCTGTCTGTCCCTCTGTGAGTCTGTTGGTAGAAGAATCATAGAATCTTAGGGCTGGAAGAGACCTCAGGAGGTCACTGAGTCCAGTCCCCTGCCCAAGGCAAGACCAATCCCAACTAAATCAACCCAGCCAGGGCTTTGTCAATCCAAGACTTAAAAACCTCTAGGGATGGAGATTCCACCACCTCCCTTGGTAACCCGTTCCTGTACTTCACCACCCTCCTAGTGAAATAGTTTTTCGTACTATCCAACCTAGACCTCCCCCACTATAATTTACATAAGAACATAAGAATGGCCATACTGGGTCAGACCAAAGGTCCATCTAGCCAAGTAGCCTGTCTGCCGACAGTGGCCAGCACCAGGTGCCCCTTAGAGGGTGGACTGAAGACAATTATCAAGTGATTTGTCTCCTGCCATTCTTCTCCAGCCTCTGACAAACAGAGGCCAGGGACACGATTTCTATCCCCTGGCTAATAGCCTTTTATGGACCTAACCTCCATGAAATTATCTAGCTTCTCTTTAAACTCTGTTATAGTCCTAGCCTTCACAGCCTCTTCTGGCAAGAAGTTCCACAGGTTGACTACACGCTGTGACAAGAAGAAACTTTCTTTTATTAGTTTTAAACCTGCTACCCATTAACTTCATTTGGTGTCCTCTAGTTCTTCTATTATGGGAACTAATAAATAACTTCTCTTTGTTTGCCCTCTCCACACCAGTCATGATTTTACATAGCTCTATCATATCCCCCCCTCAGTCTCCTCTTTTCTAAACTCAAAAGTCTGTCATTTTACCCTCTCTTCACATGGGACCCGTTCCAAACCCCTAATCATTTTAGTTGCCCTTTTCTGAACCCTTTCCAAAGCCAAAATATCTTTTTTGAGGTGAGGAGACCACATCTGTACACAGTATTCAAGATGTGGGCGTACCATAGTTTTATACAGGGGCAGTAAGATATTCTGGGTCTTATTTTCTATCCCTTTCTTAATAATTCCTAGCATCCTATTTGCCTTTTTGACCGTTACACTTATCCACATTAAATTTCATTTGCCATTTTGTTGCCCAATCACTCAGTTTGGTGAGATCTTTTTGGAGTCCCACACAGTCTGCTTCTGTCTTGACTATCCTAAACAGTTTGGTATCATCCGCAAACTATACCACCTCGCTGCTTACCTCTTTCTCCAGATCATTTATGAATAAGTTGAACAGGACTGGTCCCAGGACTGACTCTTGGGGGACACCACTAGTTACCCCTTTCCATTCTGAAAATTTACCATTTATTCCCACCCTTTGTTTCCTGTCTTTTAACCAGTTCTCAATCCATGAAAGGAAATGGAAATGTAATTTACACAAGAGCCTTTGGTGAGGGACTTTGTCAAAGGCTTTCTGAAAATCTAAGTATACTATATCTACTGGATCCCCCTTGTCTGCATGTTTAACCCCTTCAAAGAACTCTAATAGATTAGTAAGACATGATTTCCCTTTACAGAAACCATGTTGACTTTTGTCCAACAAATTATGTTCTTCTACGTGCCTCACAATTTTATTCTTTACTATTGTTTCAACTAATTTGCCCGGTACTGAAGTTAGACTTACTAGTCTGTAATTGCCTCTAGAGTCCTTTTTAAATATTGGTGTCACGTTAGCTACCTTCGAGTCATTAGGTACGGAAGCTGATTTAAAGGATAGGTTACAAACCACAGATAATAGCTCAGCAATTTCCCATTTGAGTTCTTTTAGAACCCTTGGATGAATGCCATCCAGTCCCGGAGATTTGTTAACATTAAGTTTTTCTATTTGTTCCAAAAACACCTCTAATGACACTTCAATCCGGGACAGTTCCTCAGATTCATCACCCACAAAGGATGGTACAGATTTGGGAATCTCCATAACGTCCTCAGCCATGAAGACTGAAGCAAAGAAATCATTTAGTTTCTCCGCAATGGCTTTATCATCCTCGATTGCTCCTTTTATAACTCGATCGTCTAGGACCCACAGGTTTTTTAACAGGCTTCCTGCTTCTAATGTACTTAAACATTTTGTTATTTCTTTTTGAGTTTTTGGCTAGCTGGTCCTCAAAATCTTTTTTTTTTATGCTTTCTTATTACATTTTCAAACAAGAGTCTTGGTGTTTTCTTCCATGCTGCCTTCTCACCCGGGAGGCATTTCCCATAACATCTGCAAAACTACCTCAGCCTCCTTTAATCCCTCCTAAACACTCTCCTTTGCCCTAATGACAGAGTTATGCTGTTGATGTGCTGAAACCACTGTTCACCTTGCTGACCATTATTTCCTCATGCTCCTGTCTGTATCCATCTGTTGTCTCTTGTCATATATATTGGAAGCTCTTTGGGGCAGAGGCTGTTTGTTTGCAAAGCACCTAGAACAATAGGATCTTGCATCATGCCTAGGTGCTATAGCAATACAAATAATAATGATAATATAAATCCTTTGGTACTTCCAGAGTAGTACCAGTGAACCAAATAAAAATTCTGAATGTACTCTCCTCGCAGTGCTCAGGGGCTCCACATTGTGATATAATGAATAACTAGAACTAATAGGCAATGGGAATCAGATTGCAAAACTCATTCAAATACATCACCTGAAGATCTATTTGATAAAGAGGGTCCTTTAATGCATCTGGATCATCCTCTTCATCATCATCATAGTAATCCTCATCTGTCAACACAAAAGCACAAGTGTTTATAGTGAGAGAGGAGACTATCATTTAAATGGTGCATCCTGCTATGCCTCTGACTAACTCCAGGATATCCACAGATTTCAATGAAGCTCAGAAGTGTCATGTTGGATAAAAATTCCATTTAAAAGAAACCAGCAATTTTTATTTTAAATGGGCTAAGGCCAGTGAAGAATGACAGAACAAGGAGGTGCAGAAGCCTTAATCACTCACAGCTGAGACAAGACTTCAAGTAGCATAAGGATCTGGGAGAGGCATAAGGATCTTGTGCAAAATGGGCTTTTTGCGCAATAAAACCCCCATCCACTCTGCTCATTTTTGGGCAAAAACGGCTTGAATAAATTATGCAAATGAAGCATATCAATATGCTAATTCATGCTTCATTTGCATAGGCACTGTAGATGTAGCCTGAGACTATCTATGATGAGGCACTGCAGTGACAACTATGATGTAGTAGTATTTTAAGTCAAGAAAACCCTGAGACTCAAAAGGTGCTGTGTTTCTTATCTTCTAGCCTATGAACAGTGTCTGGTCCAGGATGTATTGTTAACTCTTTCCTTTCTCCAAATCAAACCCTAGTCTTCCATTCCAGGCTATTTCCCTGCCCTCCTAACTATATATCAAATAATTGTCAGGAGAAATGTAACTTTCAGAGCTGCAAATGCTTTACTCAGGTTGATCTTCTGAAGAATGAATGTAACACTTCTGATTACCATATTTGTTTGTGGAAAGAATATCTGATAAAAGTTGTCCAGCTAAACCGTCATCTTCATCCTCTTCATCTTCTCGATCTTCCCACATATCATTGGAGTCATCTGTTGATTAAAAAAGCCATCTTAAAGACACAAAAATATCAATTCAAGACAGATAACCATTACCCACAGAATCTTCAGTCCGTCATTAAAAGTGAAAATACATCACCCACCCCCAGGGCAGGTAATCATACATGTTACACTCGACGCAATAAACAGGATAGCCCCCACTCTGCTGCTGGGCTTCTGTCTCCATTTTTCTTATGAAAAAGTATAAACTGGGCTTCTTCTTAAATGTTGGGAACATAGATTATTATAGAAGTTATGTTTAAAGAAGGTCAGAAGTCACTAGTTCCCTCTAACCTCCCGCTTTATACTCCCTCTCCAAACTGCCTATTAGCTGCTCCTGTTTGCAAGCTCCCTGATCGTTGACTCACAGCTTATAAAGCCCTGGTAGCCCCTCCCCCGAATGAGGCTCAGCCAATTAACAGAGGCTTCTAGATGTCAAATCTTTAGATTTGAAAACTTCCAGCTGCCGGCCACAGCACACGACAGACAAACTAAACAGACAAACACAAGCTCAGCACATAACAAATAACACCCCGACACACAAACACATTACAGACAGCCACTTACCACAAGGGTCCCATATTTACTCCTCCTTTACCTGGAGAACTCCCTCTCCAAACTCCCTGTTAGCTGCTCCTGTTCGCTTGAGACCAATGCTCCTTGTTCTGCCATCCATCACTACTGAGAATAGCCTCTCTCCATCCTCTTGGGAACCTCCTTCAAGAAGTTGAAGGCAGCTATCAAATCCCCCCTCACTCTTTGCTTCTGCAGACTAAATAAGCCCATATCCCTCAGCCTCTCCTCGTAGGTCATGTGCTCCAGCCTCCTAGTCATTTTGGTTGCCCTCCACTGGACCCTCTCCAATGTGTCCACATCCTTTCTGTAGTGGGGGGCCCAGAACTGGACGTAGTACTCCAGATGTGGCCTCACCAATACCGAATAAAGGGGAATAATCACTTCTCTAGATCTGCTGGCAATGCTCCTCCTAATGCTAACTAATACTCCATTCACGTCCTTGGTTACAAGGACACACAGTTGACTCTCATATCCAGCTTCTCATCCTCTGTAATCCCCAGGTCCTTTTCTGCCAAACTGCTACTTAACCATTTGGTCCCCAGCCTGTAACAATGCTTGGGATTCTTCCATCCCAAATGCAGGACTCTGCACTTGTCCTTGTTGAACCTCATCAGATTTCTTTTGGCCCAATCCTCTCTAGGTAACTCTAGTTCCTATCTGTGCCCTCCAAAATATCTACCATTTCCTCCAGCTTAGTGTCATATGCAAACTTGCTGAAGGTACAATCCATCACCTCAGCCAGGTCATTAATGATGATGATGAACAAAACCGGCCCTAGAACTGATCCTTGGGGCACTCCACTTGAAATTATCTGCCAACCTGACATCGAGCCATTGAGCCTGACAATCTAGCCAGCTTTCTATCCACCTTACAGTACATTTATCTAATCCATGATTTCTTAACTTGCTGGCAAGAATATTGTGAGAGACCATATCAAAAGTCAAGATATATCATATCCACTAACTTCCCCATGTCAGCAGAGCCAATTACCTCATCATAGAAGCTAATCAGATTGGTGAAGCATGACTTGCCCTTGGTGAATCCATGTTGACTATTCCTGATCACTTTCCCTCTTCCAAGTGCTTCAAAATGGATTCCTTTAGGATCCCCTCCATGATTTTTCCAGAGACTGAGGTAAGGCTGACTGGTCTGTAGTTCCCTGGATTGTCCTTTTTCCATTTTTAAAGATGGGCATTACATTTTCCAATCATCTGGGATTTCTCCTGATCTCCATGACTTTTAAAAGATAATGGCAAAAGGTTCTGCAATAACATTTGCCAACTCCCATGGATTTGTGTATGTTTAGCTTTTCTAAATAGTTCCTAACCTGTTCTTTCTCCACCGAGGGCTGCCCACCTCCTTCCCATACTGGGTTGCCTAGTGCATTATTCTGGGAGCTGACCTTGTCTATGAAGACAGAGGCAAAAAAAGCATTGAGTACTTCAGCTTTTCCCACATCATCTGTCACTAGGTTACCTCCCTCATCCAGTAAGGGCCCCACACCCTCTTATTGCTAACATGCCTATAGAAACCTTTCTTATTACTCTTCACATCCCTTGCTAGCTGCAATTCCAGTTGCGCTTTCACCTTCCTGATAAGTCCCCTGTATTCTCAAGCAATATATTTATACTCCTACCTAGTCATCTGCCCAAGTTTCCACTTCTTGTAAGCTTCTTTTTGGGTTTAAGCTCACCAAGGATTTACCCAGTTGCCTACCATATTTGCTTTTCTTACTACGCATCGGGATGGTATCTTCCTGTGCCTTTAATAAGACTTCTTTAAAATACTGCCGGCTCTCCTGGACTCCTTTCCCCTTCATGTTACTGTCCCAGGGGATTCTGCCCATCAGTTCTCTGAGGGAGTCAGTCTGCTTTTCTGAAGTCCAGGGTGTGTATTCTGGTACTCTCCTTTCTTCCTTTGGTCAGGATCCTGAAATCTACCATCTCATGATCACTGCTTCCCAGATTGCCATCCACATCTACTTCCTCTACTAGTTCCTCCCTGTTTGTGAGCAGCAGGTCAAGCTGCGCATGGCTCTTGGTTGGTTCCTTCAGCACTTGTACCAGGAAGGTATCCTCAACATTCTCCAAAAACTTCCTGGATTGTCTGTGTACTGCTGCAGTGGTCTCCCAACAGATGTCAGGGTGCTTAAAGTCCCCAAGAGAACCAGGGCCTGTGATCTGGAACTGGAAGCTTCTCTCAGTTGTCTGAAGAAAGCCTTGTCTACCTCATCTACCTGATTCAGTGGTCTACAGCAAACACCAACCACAACATCACCCCTGTTGCTTCCACCTCTAAACTTAACCCATAGACTCTCAACAGGCTTTTCTCCCTCTATATACTGGAGCTCTGAGCAATCATATTGTTCTCTTACTTGCAGTGAAACTCCTCCTTTTTTTCCCCTGCCTATTCATAGTTCTTTGACTGGGCCAGGGCTTCTAATTCTTCCTGTTTGTTTCCCAGGCTTCTTGCATTTGTGTACAAACACCTTAGATAACCAGTTGATTGCCCTACCTTCTCCATTTTAAATCAGGGATCCTCCTTTGTTGCTCCTTCCTCCTTGTGTTTCTTCCTGGTATCCCACTTCTCCACTTACCTCAGGGCTTAGGTCACCATTTCCCAATGAACCTAGTTTAAAGCCTTTCTCGCTAGATTTGCATGCCTGCCTGCGAAGATGCTCTTTCCTCTCCTGGTTAGGTGGATCCCATCTCTTCCTAGCAATCCTTGTGCATGGAAAAGAGATCCATGATGGAAGAAACCAAACCGCTCTCTCTGACACCACCTGCGCAACCACACATTTACTTCTACGATTCGACGCTCCCTGCCTGGACCTTTTCCTTCAACAGGGAGGATGGAAGAGAACACCACTTGCACTTCAAATTTTTTGATCCTTCTTCCCAGCGCTACATAATCTGCAGTGATCTGCTCAAGGTCATTCTTGGCCGTATTGTTAGTTCCCACATGGAGAAGCAGGAAGGGTTATCGATCTGAAGGTTTGATCAGTTTTGGAAGTCACAACCTGAATTCTAGCTCCTGGTAAGCAGCACACTTCTCAAGATTCCAGGTCTGGATGGTAGATGGATGCCTCAGTCCCTCTTAGGAGGGAGACCTCGACCACCACCACCCATCTTCTTCTTTTGGAGGTGGTGGTCATGGAACCTGCATCCCTAGGACTATGCATCCCATACCTTCTGGTAAATGGTGTCTCCTCATTTCTTCCCTGAGAGGTCCCTGCCAAAGCATTCTCCATTGAAGTGCTTGTTCAGAGTGCCTAAAAGTGGTTACTTACCTCTAGTGGAATTGGGGATACCTAAGTTGGCTTCCTTCTGCTAGAGGTTACATTCTGCCAGTTTTCTTTCTTGTTCTGTACTGCCCTCTTCAGCCTGCGGTGTTAAGAACTCTTAAACAGTAAGAGCTAGGACCATCAAATGTAGTATGCCCTTTCCACTTACCCTAACTTAACACAAGATCAGGTTTTGGTAGTGCTAAGAAAATGAGAAGTGCAGGGGATGGGACTGTGTTCCATAACATGGAAAGGGAGGAGCACAGAGAAGAGGGATGTACTACTGAGTGTGGCCACTGGAAGGCAGTGAACACAGGGGAGAGCTATATGCAGAGTGGCCACACAGAGCAGCCACACCACCAAGAGAGTGGCCAACAGCACTGGGTCTCTATTATCTTGCCTGCCATCAGACTGAGTAAGTGGTAGGGGTGCAATATCTCGGTTAATCAGTTAACTAGTTAAATGTTGGGTTGGGCTAATGTTTAACCAATTAAAGTGGGATTTGGGTTGGGGCGCAGCCCATGGGGCTCCCACCCCTAGCCCTGATCTGGAGCTATCTGTCAGCAGCTCCCAGTCCTATGCGGGTGTTAGGGCTGCCTCTGGCTCCCAGCCCTTGCTGGAGCAGCCCCTGACCACAGTAGGCCCCGGCTCCCGGTGGACAAGAGGCTGCTTCAGATGACTGCTCCCTTGGCTGCAGCATCAGTGGAAGGGAAGGCCTCTTGTGTCGGGGCAGGAGGGAGAGACAGAAGGCTCCTGGGGGTCAGGGAAGGGGAGAGAAAGACCCTTCCCCTGAATCCTTTCTCACCCCCCAGACCTCACTCTTGCGCACACACCTCACACACCACCAGCCTCTTGCCATGCTCCCCTCCTCCCCCCCCACACACATCCCCAAGGCCCAGTTCTGCCCTGACTCCTGAACTCCCCATACCGCCAGCCCCCTACCCTGAAGGGCCCAGACAATGCAGGGTAAGTCTGACATTTCCCTTTCATTCTTTGAAAACTGCATCGTGCCCTTCGCTGCTGGAATCTGGAATTTAAAAATTAGCTATGTTCCTAGAGAATTAATAGATTTCTTGTGAGTGTAAAAGCCATGGGGTATTTTTTTCTCCTCCTTCACATCAATGTCAGAATTACATCCTCTGTTGAAAATGCACCGCACAAAAGTTTTCAGAGGGATAGCCATATTAGTCTGTAACTTTGTTTAAAAAAAAGAAAAAGAAAAAAAAAGTAGTCCTGGAGCCACCTTAGAGCAGGGGTGGCCAACCTGCGGCTTGCGAGCCACATGCGGCTCTCAAAGGAAAAATTTGCGGCTTTTAAAACCCCCCCCCCCGCGCCCGGAGCGCCGCCCCA